TCTGATGGCCATCATTGGCCGCCAGAGCTCTTCGGTCTACCGTGTTGGTTGAGTTTGCTGGCTGAACCATTTTCTTTCACGTTTTTAGATTGGAATGACTTATATCGTCCCTTCCCACAGACTGCACTAAATGTTTATACAAAGATCTGCACAACGATATTTCTCGAACCAAGTTCGAACCCGGTCTCCGGTCTCGACCTGAACACTAGAGTGGACCTGCACAAGAGGGTAAAACACTCCGACGCTCAAGTCAGTATAGGTCGGACTCCGTATTTAGTTCGAGGTGAGATTCCATACCTGAGCGTGAAATGAGACCCTCTATTTATAGGTGGTGGATCCGACAGTACTTGCGATCGGCGGTTATATGTTTTTTTTCATGTCGAACTTGTCGGGTTCCGAGTAGATCGAGTCCCAGCTAGGTCGAACCTTGGCATCTATACTTAGCCTTTTTTCAATTGGCGAACTCGGTCTCCTCGGCAGGGCCGAGGTGGACCTGGGTAATTCCTTTTATTTAATTCTTCAAACACGAATAAGTGTCCTCCACGTGTCCTAGGTATTTTTACCCCCGAACAGAATCCTTCTTGATGGCCTGTGGAAAATTCTTGACCATTATTTGGTCGTTCGAAGTTGGTCGCCAAAATTCAGACCTTCAAAAGCAACGATAGATCGAGTAGCTTTGTGGGTACACATACCAGACTACATGATGGAGTTATACAATGAAGAAGGTATGAAGAGAATTGGAGATTTCATAGGCAAAACCGTGAAAATCGATTTAAAGACTCAAGCTGGGGAATGGAGAATTTTTCAAGATTGTGTTGAGGTGGATTTGACCAAAAAATTGTGCTCTGATTTTACCGTTTTGGGGGAACGGTTCAGAATCCAATATAAAGGGATTCATTTGGTTTGTTTCAATTGCGGGATTTATGGTCATAAAGTATAGGATTGCCCTCTTCAGTGTGCTAGTAGGACAGAGGATAAAGGGATGTCAAATGCAGAGGCGAATATTGAAGAGTCGGCCCATGTTACATTGGAGGATGACTTCGCTGGAATAGGCCATAAAAGAGACAAGCCAAAAATAGAGGTCTTAATCCCTCACCGGGCCATGGGCTGTGGATTATAGTGGAGAATTCCAAACAAAGGGGGAAAATTTACCCACACAAGAGTAGGGAGGGGTCGGTCAGAAGCTACCATGACAAACAGAAATTGTAGGAACCCTTCAGGTTCGCTTGAGAAAAATAAGAAGGCTATGGATTTCCCTAATGATGCAGAAAATGGGGAGATGACCCGCAAAGGTGGGTCAGTCAGAGAGGCAAGAGCTAAGTTTGGGGTGTGGAATAATAATAGCAATAAGCGGAGCACGAAATTAGGTTCTAAGGCTTTTGGATCCCCTTTCGATACTCCGATTCAGTGAAATAACAATGATCCGGGGGCAGTAGCCATCCCCATTGGTTGGATGGAGATTTAGATCCTAGGGATAGTAATTCAGATCGGGATGTTTTCCAAGAACCAGGGGTGAGAACTTTCTCTTCAATCCAACTCGAGGTGGTTGGGAATAGGGATAAGGAAAATTTGGAGACTCAACGTATGCAACTAATGGCATGTGATTCGGAAGCGGTTGATAGGAATATGTTGGACCAAGAAGCACCCTATGATTCAGAGCAATTGGAATGCAGGATAGAGTTGGGAATGGAGTCCGTAGGGGTTATCCTCCAGGGAAGTGTCTTTAACTCTTCTACTTTAGTTTAATGATTTTTTTTTATCATGGAATTGTAGGAGACTTTAATGACATTCTTTTAGAGGAGGAAAAAATAGGAAGGGCACCCTTTAATCCAAGATCAGCAGCATTGTTTTTGGATGAATAGATGCCAGTTAATGGACCTTGGAAGTTCAGGGCCCAAGTTTACTTGGAGGGGTCCCCTCTTTCACGGCCATAGGAGAAATTTTGAACGGTTGGACAAAGGTATTGTAAATGTGAGTTGGCAGTTAGCTTTCTCAGAAACATCCGAGTGCTACCACGAATTAAGTCTGATCATCACCTTGGACACGGCTGCCTTTAGTGGGAGTTCTAGGATCCAAAGACCCTTTTGTTTTATGGCAGCATGGCAAACTCATTGTTTGTTCTCAAAATTTTAAGGGATTCTTGGCCATCATTGGAGCCCCTCCAAAATTGTTTAGCCACTGCACAAATGTAAATTGACTCAATGGAACAAAGAAGTCTTTCAAAGTACTTCTAAAAAGAAAAGAATCATCCTTGCTAGATTAATCGATATTCAAAAGATTATCCCCAGAATCATAACCCATTCCTTTCTAACCTAGAGAATGAATTAAGCAAAGAACTAGATTCCATCCTTCTGCAGGAAGAGATTACTTGGTATAAGAGGGCTCGCTGTGAGTGGGTTCGGTTTGGTGATAGGAATACAAATTTTTTTCATACAAAGGCCATAATTAATCGGAAGAGGATTAGTATTGAGACGTTAAAGGATCAAAATGACGTTTGGTTAACGGATGAAGCTTCCCTAAGAGAGATAGCTACTAACCATTTTCAAAATCTATATGGGGAGACAGAGGCAGGAGAGAGTCTAGTGACTTGATGCTCTTTTCCACCCCTTCCTTTAGAGGCGTTAACTCATTTAGAGAGAGATGTGTCGAGGGAGGAGGTCCATAAGACTTTATTCTCTATAGGTGCATTCAAAGCTCCTGGCCCTGATGGGTTTTACGATGTTTTAATTTTTATCAGCAAAATTGGTCTATAGTCGGTTCCTCGTGTTTGTGAAAAATATCTTGGAGAATGGTTTTTCGGTGGCTAACAGTAATAGTACTTTTTTGGTTCTTATTCCAAAGATTGAGCTTCTTGAATCTATTCTACATTTTCGTCCCATCAGCTTATGTAATGTTTCCTACGAGATCATTACAAAACTAATAGCTCTTCGTCTTCGAGATTATATAGGTAATTTAGTTGGTCCCAATCATGCTAGTTTATTTGTCCCTATAGGCACATCCAAGATAATATTATCATTGCACAATAATTAATTCATACCATGGATAGACTAAAGAGAACCAAAAGGTTTATGATGATTAAGGTAGATTTAGAGAAAGCATATGATCGTATTTCATGGAAATTCTTGGAGGAGACCCTTGATTTGATCGGTATTCCAGTTAATCTTAAAAATGTTATCATGGATTGTGTTACATTGGCAACCATGCAAGTTTTATGGAATGAAGAACCTACTACAGAATTTAAAATACGAAGGGGAGTTCGGCAAGGGTGTCCGTTGTCTCCCTATCTTTTTGTTCTCTGTTTAGATCGGCTTTTTAATTGCATAATTGACTCGGTCCAAGAGGGTAAGTGGAAGCCTATGAGGGTGGAAGGCACGGTTCGCTTATATCCCACCTTATGTTTGCATACGATATTCTCCTATTTGCTGAAGCCTCTGTGGATCAAATTAGAGAAATAAGTACAGTTTTGAAAAGATTTTGTGATGCTTCTGGTCAAACTGTAAATCGTGCTAAGACAATTATCTATTTCTCAAAGGATGTTAAGCCTGAGGATCAAAATCGGGTTACAAATATTGGGGGTTTTAAGGTAACATCAAATGTTGGGAAATATCTACGACTCCCAATAGTTCATGGTAGGATCCGTATAGCTTCATTTCATAATATAGTAATAGAGTCAGCTTGAGGGTTAGTAATTGGTCTGCCACGGCTTTGTCATTTGCGGGTCGGGCTACATTGGTACAATCTGTTCTTCAAGTAATGCCCACATATTCTATGCATATTTTCCGTTTTCCTGTGGCAAATTAGATCAATTATGTTGAAATTTTC